AATAGAATGAGTAAGTGACTTCCCGGCTTTTCCAACTCCAAGAATGTACCCATTTTTTCCATTGCCAAAGGATACACTCCCTCCTTGTAGGGCTTTTAGTGAAAGAAAGTCCATGGTGTTCCTAGTCATGTGCTTTGAACACACACTATCCATGAACCATTGTTGACCGCTTCCTTTCACTATTCCCTACACAAAAATATCAAGAGTTAGTTTTAGGAACCCAAACGAGTTTGGATCCCTTGTAGTAGTCAAGAGGATGAATAAAAGCTCTCTTAGTCCACGCAGGTAATATGCATTTTTGTGAGTGGAACCTGGTCCCTCTTTTGTAGTCATCTTTCAGCAAACACTTTGTTTTTCTAAACAGATTGAACCTTGGCCTGACAATTTTTTTTAAAGTGCCCATTATTCCCACAGTGGGTACAAAGCCAGTTATTAGGAACAATGACATAATTGTTGTGAGGGTTGTAAGGAGTTTTCTCCCTTTGGAACCCTATTCCCTGCCTGTTTCCACCATTATTAGTGTACATGGTAGTGATAGCTTCTGAGGACCAGGTCCACTTTAGGGACTTTTCAAGATCATTTTTTACTCTTTCCAGTTCAGTTTGGAGGTGCTTGTTTTTCTCAGTTTCAACACACATCCTAGTTCTCACAGCTTTCAACTCATTTTCAAGTCTAATGTCTTCCTCTCTGGCTATCTCTTTTCCTTTTCCAGTATTTCTAGGTTTAGACTTAGTTCCTAGTCCTTCCATTGTTTCCTTAGGTCTGCAATTTCTACCAAGAGATCATCTCTTGTTTTATCAGCTTCCCCTAGTTCTAAGATCGGGTCATCCTTATCCTCCACAAGGTTATGATAGGCATCAATCAATACATTAACTAAAGACATAAGTTTCTTAGGAGAGTAGGATTTCAGATTTCTCTGTATATCCCTGAAATTTACCTCTTTGTGGTCATCGTCTTCATCATCATATGATTGGGATATCAAAGCAAAAGTTGAGTCATATTCATTTTCCTTGCTTTCAGCTGCCATCATGGAAATATCGCCAGCATCAGTTTTATCTTAATATTCACTAGAGGAACCCCCCCCCCCATGATGCAAATGCCTATTTCACCATGTGGTCAGCATAACTCTTTCTTTTGAAGTCCTTGAGAGGAACGGGGTTCCTCTTAGCTACTTTCTAAGGGTTGTACCTGGAGAATTCTTGCTTCAAGAGAGGATAGTCTTTGGTGAAGTGTCCAGGCTTTCCACACTTATGATAGAGATCATAATTTTTTGGTTTGCTAGAGCTGCCCCTTTTTAGCATTTTTTCATTTCTTCTGACCATCTTCTGAAATCTTTTGGTTAAGTAAGCCATGTCACTGTCTTCCTCACTTGAGTCATTGCTATCAGCTTTGAGTACCAGATTCTTTTCTTTCTTTGTTTCTCTTCTTTCACTGTCTATCTTCCTCTTCATCTCGTAAGTCTTCAGATTTCCAACCAGCTCTTCTATGGTCACCTCCTGCAAGTCCTTTGATTCAGTAATAGCATTCACCTTGCTTTCCCATGGACTAGGTAGAATATTGAGGATTTTCCTCACTAGCTTGTTCCTAGGAATAGTTTCACCAAGTGAGTGTAACTCATTTATGATGGAGGTGAATCTTGTGTGCATATCTTGAATAGATTCATCGTCCTTCATCTTGAAGAGTTCATACTCGGTAGTGAGCATATCGATCTTAGATTGTTTTACTTGGGCGGTTCCCTCATGAGTTATTTGCAAAGCTTCCCATATCTCCTTAGCAGTGTCACATGCGGAGATTCTATTGTATTCTTTAGGTCATATTCCACATACCATAATCTTCTTGGCACGAGAATTCTTCTCCACAGCTTTCATGTCTGCGTCGGTGTATTCTTTACTGGTTTTTGGCATTGAAAATGGAAGTTCTTCCAGTACCTTTGTTAGAACATAAGGACCGTCACATATGACATCCCATAACTCAGAATCCTCAGCCATGATAAAATCATGCATTCTTGTTTTCCACCACCCATAGTATTGTCCATTGAACCTAGGTGGTCGGTATGTAGATTGACCTTCTTCAAAATTCGGTGGAGCAGCCATAAGGATCCTTCCTAGGTGTTAGCCTGGTAGGGGGAACCCGCTCTGATACCAATTGTTAGTTTGTATGAGTCCACCAAACAGTAGAGTACCTGGTCCTCTATGAGGTTGTACTGAGAATGCTAATAAAACAGTAAGTATATAAGACACGTGATTTTTACGTGGAAAATCCCAACTCAAGGGAATAAAAACCACGGCCTACACTTGTAGACTTTCAACTTCACTAACTTGTAAATACCTATTACAAGCCGCTTTGTAATGACTCAATTACAAAGAATTCAACTTAACTAACTTGTGATACTCTTACCACAAGCCACTTTGTCACTCTCTAGTTACAAAGACTTTAACTTATGACTAAACCTAGTCATAACATAAACTCAGAGAGTTTACGGATTTTATAAGAGGGTTCCTAATCAACGTTTCTTGCTAAGCAACTTAGGAGATACAATAAGAACAATTACAAAGTTACAACTCAACTAAGGACAACAAAATACCAACTTTAGGAACTGGTCCGTAGTAGAATTTAACTTTGTTCTTCAAGCTCGTGAGAATTGATTTCTCAGTTTTTGCAAAAGGCTTGAAATGAGAAATTGAAGTGTTCAAGTGATGTTTTGATATAAACTCATTGTTGATACACCTTGATGACATCACTTGAAATGATGTAAGCACTTTAGTTGGTCAAGGAATAAATGACCACTGGAAACAGTGCAGCGCAGGCAAAAATAGTGCAGACAGTCACGTCACTTCCAGCTGTGTCCCATTGACTTCGTACTGCTATGAGGGAATCACAAGGGTATGAGGTCCTTGTTTGGTTCTCTATCCCCTAAAGCTATAGCAGTTCACATTTAGCTGGAATCTATTAACTTGTAGTGTAGCCCAAGTATGTCAGGTTCCCTATTTGGTCCTTGATAGTAAGTTTGTTAGATTATCAAAACATAAGGAAAAGACATTGAAAACTTATCATATTCATAAAGAGATCATATCGAAAGTTCCATAAACTCATGGAATATTTACAAAGAGATCAAGATGTGACCGAACATTTCTTGACAATCAAATAGTTTAAGAACGTCTACAGCACCTCAAGGAGATCAAATACATCTCAAGAAAGTCCGCATCATCCTATATTCGAGAAATACGCTGCGTAAGTCCTCAAATCATGGAAAACTATCCGAAGAGAAGAATCAAGGAAATAAATAAAAATAGAACTGTACTCACAATTTACTAATAAAACTTTTTTTCTTAAAAAGAAGAAGAAGGTAAGAATCACAAATTGTCTAGACAACAAAAATTATAAGTACAACATTTAAATTATCTAGAAAATAAGTATATTTATATGTCGATTCAATTCGGTTCTTTCTTGTTCAATATAAATCAAATCAAATCAAACATACGGTGATTTTATGCAACCACAACAACATACCAGTATTATCTCATACTGTGGGGGGTTGGAGAAGGTAATGTGTATATAGGTCTTACCCCTACCTTTGTAAAGGTAGAGATGATATTTCCAATAGACCCTCAGTTCAAGAAAACATAAGCACCACATTGTTTAAGAGATAGACAAGGAGGGAAAATACCAAAAAGCCATGTAAAAGCAGCATAAAAATAACACGATAATAATATGATCAAAATGAAAGAAAACGACGGGTAGTCAAAGAAACCTACGGGTAGCCAGTAGAATGCGAGAGTGTGTACTAATATTACCGGTATGAACAATCTAGACCACCTACCCTACTACCCTAATCCTCGATCTCCACACCTTCCTATCAAGGGTCATGTCCTCGGTAAGCTGAAACTGCACTATGTCTTGCCTAATCACCTCTCCACACTTCTTCTTCGGCCTACCTCTATCTCTCCGTATGCCCTCCAATGTCAACCTCTCACACCTCCTCATCGGGGTATCTGTGCTTCTCCTTCTCACATGTCCACACCACCCAAGCCTCGCTTCCCGCTTCTTGTCCTCAATAAAGGCCATACCCGCCTTATCGCGAACAACTTCATTCCTACAGTGATTTTATATCTGATTTAATTTGATATTTTGATTTGGTTAGATTTTTTGATTTTTCGTGAACACCCTTTTATTGACTGCAAAAAAGGGTTATCATTTATAAGGGTGGGCATAATTTGGGCAAACCCGGAATTCAAACCGAAATCCGAATTTTTTAGATTATTGGTTTGAATTTTTAGATTACGGATTGGATTTTGGATTTAGTTTTTATTATTTTTGGATTTAATATTTCGTTTTTTTGGATATCCGAAAATCCAAAATTTTTATACGTTATATTTAGTCCATTATCCATATGCTAGTAGTAATAAGTTCAAATACCATACCCAACACATATTATCTCATATATTCAATATTAATTACTAAGTTACTGTCAAAGTACTTTCTATATGGACATAGTTTTACTGTTGCTACTTCGTATCGGCCGTTTTAATCTCTCTATTACAATTTTTTGATAATAATTTCATTACTTGAATATATATTTGGATGATTGCAGTGAGAATGGGGAACTTTTCAGGCAATTTAATATGAGTACTTCATTTGGATATACATTTTTGTAAAAAGGAGAAGCATCTCAACTTATAAGCTCAAAATCGAAAATCCAAAATATCCAAACTGATTAATCCGAAACCGAATTTAAAAAATCCGATCCAATCCGAGCTTATTTGGATTGGATTTGAATTGTCATTTCTTCAATCCGAAAATTGAAAATTCAAACCGAAATTTTCATATCCGAACGCCCACCCCTAATCATTCACAACTCTATTGGGGGTATTAAATGCAAAATCGCTTAGTTCATGTATCAAAACGTTACACTCATAAAATTAAACGGGGCAAAGTGCTAAATCTTTAGGCCCAAAACCTTTTGCACTTCCAAGGTAAAAAAAGAAAAAGAAAGAAAATATGTATATAAAGGAACATCCCGCCGTGACCCTTCGCCGGCAAAAGTATCTTCAAAACCACCGAAACGGCGCAATTTCGTACCGCTTTCCCACATTTTCCGGCAGAACATCGCCGGATATATTAGGACACTGATACACTTGTTTGAACATGTAAAAGAATCAAAAACTGAAAGCGAAGAGTAAAAAAATAGAACATTATAAAAATATGGATCGGATAGTAGCAGCAAAGGAATTATCATTTCGAATAGGGTTTACCGGGCACAGTGGTCACCTCAAGATCGAGCCGCTCCCTCCTGTTGAACGCGATAATCCTCTCAATTTGATTCCTGACTTCATACTCGTAAGTTTTTTTCTCACCCACACTACTCCTTTTTCATTTTAGTTAGAGCTAAAGCGCATCATTTGAATTTCTATATAGGCTTTTGTTTCCATAGGGTTCGAATAATGACCGAAATGTATCCAATAGTAGTGGAAAAAATGATTCCAAGAGCGCTTCCTTAGACATTTCTAGTTTGGTTGCGAAGTATTGTTTAGATAGGTTAGCTAAAAGGCTGGATTTTGAATGAAGTTAGAGAAAAGTTCTACACTGGAGAGCAATTGGCGGTTGGCTCTTGGGGAAGGAGATTGATTGGAACAAGTAGAGTAGAAAGAGGGTCATCTATCTTGGGTTCCGTTATTTCTTAACAACTATATTCAACGTGTGTGGACCTGGAATGACTTTCATGGTAGTCTCTACTCCAGCATGAAAGTTCCATCTCAGGGAAGGACACCATGCTATGATAATTATTGTTTTGTCGAGCCCAACATTTGTCTCTCGCATGCCCACACTCTCTCACACAGCACAGACATGTGTGGACGTGGAATGACCTTTATGCTAGTTCATGCTCCATCATAAAAGTTTCATTTTATAGTATGATACTTTCTATTTTGTCAAGGTATGCGATCTTTGGTATCTGAACATGTTAGTCACACACATGTGAAAAGGGTTTGAATCGGAAGTCGTGAGTTTTGTCAAACACGTGAAACCTGTATTAGATCCGATTTACTACTGGATAACTTAGTCAACTAAGGCTTAGGTATAGGGGAAGAAATCACTTAGTTTTTTGTACATTCATTGTTTCACTCTCCCTATTTATACATTCAAGATGATTTTCTGGATTTTGCATCTTTATGTTTTATTTTTTCAAATTTTGTGTGAATGCACGTTAGTTAATTGCCTAAAAAAAGAGGAAAGGACAAATTTAAATTAATATAACTTATTTATGACAACGAGAGAAACATCTACCTTTAGTTTCAAATTGATTGGGCCGTTTATATGAATACTTTTAGTCCATTCTACTTTATTTGACCGTTTCATGCTCCTTATGTAACCAATAACCTTTGGGGTTTAAGGGGAGAGAAGACATCCTCGCCTGAGAATTATTCTCAACTAACAACCTCATTATCAAGGCGGAAGAGCCTCATGACAAACTACGACAAACCAAACATTCACCGGAAGCCGCGTGCGACAATATGCAACCACATGCGCACTTGACAGAGACATTTTTTGAGCGGCTATTGGCGCATGAGCCCTTTTTTGTGCAACTTTCCGACGATATTTTTTCTTCCAATGAGCTCGTTTACCATCCTACGGTCTTCCCAGCGAGGTTAGAAGTAGCTCCAGTGATTGAAAAAGCGATAGTAGACTTTCCAATAGGTTCTACTGATGTTTTTACTTTTCCACCGACATTCTGGCATCGTTCCATCTTCTGGGGAAATTGCCTTTCATCATTGAGTCTGACCATCCATGTCAGACCTCATCTGATGACCAGAAAAGTGGCAACACAATTCCAATAGTTTTTGATGACTTTTCAGCTTTTCCAACAAATGTTTTCCTCTTTGTTCACTGCCTGAAGTTGGGTGGAAATGGCTAGAGAAGGACTTTTTCTTTTCTATTGAGTTAAGAAAAGTCATAACTTTTGTCATCAAGGATGTTATGATGTGGCCAAAGTTCTCAACGTTTTAGTATACTTCTTGTTTATGTGAGTTTTTTCTCCCTTTGATTAATACAATTTACCTTATCAAAAAAAAATGATGTGGCCAAAGTTGGAATTTGATGAAAATTGTTGGAGAAAGATGTTGGCAAGGAACCAAACATTGAGGGCCTTAAGTGAGTATACCAAGAGGAGGAAGAGCTTTTTGAGCACATGTTTAGTAGGATGTTTCGAAAAGTGGGTGGGTTAGCCGGAAGCTATTACAAATTGGGTGTTACAGGCATGAGAGTTGGCTTATGTGAGGTTCCTTTTCATACTCTCTGACGAGAAGCAAGCCACTAGAGTATTTTCTGAAAACTAAAGATGGATGGGTGGAAATTTTCTAAAGCTTGAAAGGTGGAGCAAGATGTCAGGCTGCATCCACCCAAGTTTGCTAGCGACGTAGTTCCAATACACTTGGTTGGGCTAACAGTAAACATGTGGTGTTTTTAATTTTTCTAAAAAGTAGGAGACGTGTGGGGTTTTGCAAAATGCTACATGTAGCATGCTCGACATGTCAATGGCTTGAATTTTGGTGAGAAAGGGAGGTAGTGTACCAGTGTCAGTGGTGATTGATGACAGAGAGATGGGATAGGGTGTTATTGGAGTTTCGGATTGAGCACTTTCCTTTGGGGGTAAAGGAGTGTGTTGGGATAGGGAGGAGAAAGAGAAAGGATTACGAGGAAAGAAGGAGGAAGGTAGTGCATGTGAGAGTGGGGGAGTTCTCATCGTCCGTAAATACAGGTGGTGAGCAATTTAATGTGGGAGAAATAAAGAATAAAAGAATATGGTAAAAAGACATGAGTGCCCTTGGCTTAGATCACTAACATGAGCAATATGTTGAATCAGATTGCCAAAATAAAAGAGAATTGCTTTCACATTCCTATGTTGAGTAGAGGGGTCATACTTTTGGCTTTTGCTCACATGTGCAGAATTTACTACACTCCCTTTGTACTGTATTGTGAATACAATCATACCTTAAAAAAACATAAGGGGAAAGAGAGAAGAGGGATCATGTGCCTTAAGGTTAGGACAAAAATCCTTGAGTTCTTCTCTTTTGAAGGCGGAGATCGGGGATCATAATTCTAGTGTTGTTGTAGATGGAGAGGAGACTAGCTAGGTTTAAGGCGTTTGAATTTAGTGCCGACATCTCGATGGGAGCTCAAAATAAGAACAAGACATAGGGGAAGATAGTTTGTGATGAGAAAGGACATGAGCTAGTTGGAGCTCATCAAGGACCTTTGGTAGTTTGCAGTTGATTAAGACAATTATCCAAAACTTCTACTTTAGAAGAGGGACTTTAGTTGGAGGAAGCAAATGGGGGAGTTGGCATTGTTTGAAAAAGCGAGCGCTTCGCTTTAAGCGAAAAGCGACAACCCATCGCTTTTTTGAAGCTGAAGCAAATCAATTTACAAAAGCGAGCGCTTTAATATCTGAAGTGAGAAGCGATGCAGAGAAGCGAAGCAAAAAAACGATTGCTTCATTTAAATGGGTCAATTTTTTTTTTAAAAAAGATTGGGTCTTTTTTTTATTATTCAAAACATAGACCCCAACCCAAAGCGAAGACATTTCTTCTTCTTCTTCCATCGACTGCTGCTAGGGTTCGCTGATCCAGCCTCTAGGTAATTTTCTTCTTCTTTCTTCTTCTTCTCATTTTTTTCTCTCTTCTTTCTTCTTCTTCGCGTCGAGGCATCGACTACTGCTCACTGCTAGGGCAGGCAATGTATTTTTTCTTCTTTTTTTCCTTTTATTCTTCTTATTTAGCCTTTATTTATTAATTTTTATGTGTATTTCAGTTTATAAACTTAATTATTATATTTTGAAATGTTGCCGCTTTGCTGATTTCAGTATATTAAACTTAATTATTATATTTTTTTAAGGTTTTTTTCCCCTTTCTTTGAAATGTTACTGATTTTAGTTATTAAATTTAATTTAATTAAGGTGTTGCTGATTTCAGTATATATATATGTATGTATGTTTTTATTTTATTTCATTATGTTTGTTTTTCTTATATCTTAATAGGGATTAAAAATGTTTCAAAGTTCGAAAGAGAAAGACCTGGCTTAGCGATATGGCGATAAAGTTAATGAGAAGAATAGTGCAAATTTATATGCAAGTTTTTTACAAGATTACAACGGTTGGAATTTATCGCTTTAAATTCCATCTTATTAGTGGCAATAGAAACGTCACAAGTTGTCCGAAATGCCCGCCGTAGGTGAGGGAGGAAATAAAGAATTTTGTTGAAAAGAAAGAGCTAAAACATCAAATGTCATCAACCATTTGTGACGAATCTTGATGATGATGATATGGAAGAAGGTGAAGCTGCTAATTTGTGACTTCCAACAAAACGGGGAAGAGATGCAATCCCTTCAAGCCATGAATCGACGGGTACGAGTAAGAGTAAAGGTCCTATAGATTGTTATTTCCCAAAGAAGCCAGAAGCAAAGAGTTTTGGAAAAAATTTGCAAAAAATTGCCAAGGATATTTTAAGGGATCATGCAGTTAAAGCTTTTGCACGATGCGTCTATGATGCTGGCTCCCCTTCAATTGTGTCAACTATACTGATACTTTTGAAGGCTTTATTGAGGTCGCTGGTCAATATGGACCTAGAATGAAGTCCTCCACTTATCGTGAAATCAGAGGTTCTTATCTAAATAAGGAAGTAGAGGAGACCAATAAAATTGTGGAGGAACATAAAGTTGTGTGGAACAAGTATAGATGCTCCATTATGATGGATAAGTAGACGACAAGAACTGGGAATTGATTATTGATGTGTTGGTAAATTCTCCCAAAGGAAGTTTGTTTCTTGAGTTGATTGATGCTAGCGACGCTTCCACTGACCACATCAAAACGTTCACCTTGTTTCAGAACACCATTGAAAAGATTGGCCCAAGCAATATTGTTCAGGTGGTAACTGATAATGGGAGTGAGAATGCTAAAGCGGGTGGTATGGTGCAAGGAGCATACCCGAATATCTATTGGGCTCCATGTGCGGCTCATTGTATCAACTTAATGGTCGGGGACATTTTCAAGGAAGAACCCTTCTCTGCAGTTTTTGGCTAGGGCGTTAAGGTACATTCTTATATTGCTCAACATCCTTTATTATTGAATATGATGAGAAGATTCACCAAACAAAAAAATTTGGTGAAGCAAGACAAGGTTCGCCATTGCTTTCTTGACTTTGCATAGTATCCACTTGCAAAAAGCCAATTTGAGAAAGTTGTTCAATTCAGAGAAATGGAACAAAAGTAAATTTGCAAAGGAAGCTGGGGAAAGAAGCTATATGCATTATTCTTTCTTATTCTTTTTGGAATAATGTCCTTCATGC